ATTTTATCCAACCAATAAAATTGTTTAAAGAAACTACAAACATGTTAGCGCATAAGTCGACCAATGTGCTCACAGGATTTAATACACGCTCTGTTGGGCTGAGAGTTTGAATCCTATTCGATGCTTTGATGTTTAAACTGTGGAGTTATCTGATCTCCGATTAAAGAATCATAATACAATCTCAACGTAAATATTGGGGCGTGCTAGATCAATGTGCGTAATCCATAGACGCAACTAATATTATAAATGCCCATCTTTCAGGTTTATATACCTGTTAGAAACAAACTTTTTAATAGGTCTATTTACTTTCATAATAGAAGTGTTCGTTATTCGGCTGATCAAGAAATTCCGTGGAAGATGGCTTGCTGTCTTCTGGGTTGTTGCCATCTTCAAACCTCAAATCATATAAATTCAGTGGAGTTATAGAACCCCAAAGTCAATTATCTTTTTTTTTAAGAAACCCGACAGAAGACCGTTTATAACCACATGATCCCTTCTGCGCATGTCATAAAATAGTGTAATAATTTCACATTTCGTGTCGAATTCTTTTCACCCAAGTTTGTTATCTCACACTGTTTCTTTTAATCGCCCTAAAAGTACTGTAATTACTGATAGTAACTTAGTATTGTGGTCATACATAAGAAACAATTTCACTCGTATAAAAGCAATGAAGGAAAAGAGGACAAATGGATGGACAGAGTTGATGTAATTTCGAAATGACATTTACACGAAAACACACAGGTATCTATGGAAGTGGATGATGTATTTAATTTATGAAATGGTTTTCTGAGAATCTGAAGTAATCCCATTTAGAAGATTTCCGTCTTCTGGGTTGTTGCGTTGTGTAGTCTGGTCGATGTTATCCAACGTTTCAGAGGTCATACTGCCTCCGTCATCAGGGCGATGAGTATGAAGATTTCTGGGTTGTTGCGATCGCCCTGATGACGGAGGCAGTATGACCTCTGAAACGTTGGATAACATCGACCAGACTACACAACGCAACAACCCAGAAGACGGAAATCTTCTAAATGGGATTACTTCAGATTCTCAGAAAACCATTTCATAAATTAAATACATCATCCACTTCCATAGATACCTGTGTGTTTTCGTGTAAATGTCATTTCGAAATTACATCAACTCTGTCCATCCATTTGTCCTCTTTTCCTTCATTGCTTTTATACGAGTGAAATTGTTTCTTATGTATGACCACAATACTAAGTTACTATCAGTAATTACAGTACTTTTAGGGCGATTAAAAGAAACAGTGTGAGATAACAAACTTGGGTGAAAAGAATTCGACACGAAATGTGAAATTATTACACTATTTTATGACATGCGCAGAAGGGATCATGTGGTTATAAACGGTCTTCTGTCGGGTTTCTTAAAAAAAAAGATAATTGACTTTGGGGTTCTATAACTCCACTGAATTTATATGATTTGAGGTTTGAAGATGGCAACAACCCAGAAGACAGCAAGCCATCTTCCACGGAATTTCTTGATCAGCCGAATAACGAACACTTCTATTATGAAAGTAAATAGACCTATTAAAAAGTTTGTTTCTAACAGGTATATAAACCTGAAAGATGGGCATTTATAATATTAGTTGCGTCTATGGATTACGCACATTGATCTAGCACGCCCCAATATTTACGTTGAGATTGTATTATGATTCTTTAATCGGAGATCAGATAACTCCACAGTTTAAACATCAAAGCATCGAATAGGATTCAAACTCTCAGCCCAACAGAGCGTGTATTAAATCCTGTGAGCACATTGGTCGACTTATGCGCTAACATGTTTGTAGTTTCTTTAAACAATTTTATTGGTTGGATAAAATTTTACGTGAAGCCGTGTCCTAGAGGCGACACGAAATCTTCATACTCACCGCTGTGAGAACCTCAAGTCTTACATAATCCCATTTAATTTTAAACAGAAGTACAAATGTTAATTTCCGTTCAAAATTTGAATTAACCTAAGTAGTCAGACAGGATTAATTATATTTAGCAAATTTTGTTACAGAACCAGAAAGTTGAACATTGCTAATACTTAATTCAGACGATATATTTCGTGTCTTTTACGAGTACTAATCTCTTATATATTTTAATATTGTTCTTCAGTAATCTCATCGGTCTACCTATTTGTTTCTTTACATTTGGATTTTCCAACCAGAACTAACGAACTCATTAACTTCATGGACAAGAGTCCTTTAAAAAAAACTCATTACCGTGTTCACGTGAGTCTACCACCGGTTTGTATATCCTTTATCAGTTGATTACATCCAAACTAGATTTCCCTAATATTCATTTTAATATTATCCTCCCACCTACGCCTAGGTCTTTCGACTGGTTTCGTCCCATCAGGTTTTCACAACCAAAATTGTGCTCATCATCCTTGATTTATCTGTTTTTTTTATAGTTTTTTTATAAAAATGAAATCCTTAAAATATAAATTAAGGAATAAAAACAAACAATAAAGCTAACAATAAAGATGGTTTAAAGGAGACTGTCACCTGTCACAACCCTGCTGTACAGAACAGCTGTGATGAAAATGGCTATCATTACGCTGGAAGGTTCCATGCTTGAGTAAGTTCCCGTCATGCTGAGAAGAGCTGTATAAACCATTGAAGTGAAACACATCACTCACAGACACGAAAAGCGGGGCATCCCATTTCGTAGAAATCCAGTCACTGGCGATATGAAACAAAGGTTACTTTTATATCAACACGAAACATTATTTAAAACAATCAGAATCTAGATTCAACACTAAAACTCTCCACTTTATAGAAGCAATTAGTTGAATGACGTGTTCGAACTGCAGCGACTCCATTTTGGTTTTAGTATCGATTGAGAGTGTGCGCGGTGCTGCTCTATGAGAAAGTGGTGACTCGTTTGATACGTGTGAAAGAAGGAATAAGTACCGAGAAATTTGTCATAAATGAGAATCACAGCTCAATACAATAATGTTATTAAGAATCGTACATTTTTAATGAGACATGTCTATAGCGCAGTAGTGCATTCAGTTTCTGTAAAAGAATAAATATATTTTTTTTGTGTCAACTTATTATAGGTTATGTTTACAACGGACTTGGCCGAGTCATGGAAAGATTTTTCATGATGATCAATTGCCCTATCTGAGGCGTCTTGCAATAATAATTTACAAAACTTCTACACCACAGGCGACCAACGCCCGATTCGAGGCCTTAGAAACAAGATAGCGTAGTTATAACAAATGCTTTGCGCATTCAGCCAGTCTGTCATATTTCCTTACAATAATCGGTTTGGTGGGAACTATTCAAATCTCGCTCGTTCATTCATAGATTCATGTCCATCCACCCGAGGCATCCATTCATTTAAGTCCAGTAACAATTGCCCGGATGTAGTTGTATTGATTTCCACACCTGTCGAGCCACTGATTCCCTCCCCATTTGGAAACTCCCGATTCCTAGTTCGCTTTCTGCCTGTCGTGTGGCGCTCCAGTACAGACTTGCTACTAAAGAGGACAGCGTCACTTCGCTTTAGCTTACACGTGTAATTCGTAAAAAATAAAAATTTCAAACAGCCGTACCAACTTTACAGAACAAAAATTATTTATTGATTTGTTTGACAACGTATTTTCCATCTGATTGAGTTACTTGTAGTTGGTGTGCAATAGATTTATTGATTTGTTTGACAACGTCTTTGCCAGCTGCTTGAGTTACTTGTAGTTGGTGTGCAATAACAGCTGAATTTTTAATTGCGAATAGAGAATGAAGTCAAATGAGAAAACACGTCAAGGTTAGGTTAGGTTAGTACCCAGGAAAACCCGCACATGGTACAGCAGTGCTGACCATTATACCACGAGTATATGTTTACAATTATGGAATTTGCAGT